TGGACTTGTTTTCATTTTCTTCAGTTTCAGCCTGAACTTGCATATGAGCAGTGACTAGTATGTTCCACATTTGACCCTTGGCCTTGTTTTGGCTGATGACATGGAGCTTTTCCATCATCTGTTCACACAAGTGTAGTCATTACATCTAGTGAGGTCCATGGTATAATCTCCTTTACAAAAACTTTTTTAAAAGTTTTTGAAATGAAAAAGTCATTGGTTTTGCAAACTTCTATCATGCAATCTCCAACCTCTTTTCTCTCACCAAGGCCATATTTTCCAAATAACTGATCCTTCCTATTTGTTTCCAATCTTTACATTCCAGTCAACAGTAATTATCAATACATCTTGAAGGCTAGGATATTGATCTTTATGAATTCCATGTCATTTTGACAACTTTCAGTTTTCCTTGGAATACTTCAGACATTCCATGTTCCGATTATTAATGGATGTTTACAGTTTTCTCCTTATTTTGAATTGTGCCCCATCAGCAATTGAAGGTTCCAAAAGCTTTGCTTCATTCTCGTCATCACAGTCAACTCTACTTTGAGTAGACAGCTCTTCCCCAGTCATATTTTCAGTTCCTTCCAACTTGAGGGCCTCACCTTCTGGCACTGTAGCTGACATTCTTCTGCTGCTCTTCGTAATAGTTTCATCTTCTGACAGTAGAGCTGACAGTATTCCACTGCTGTTCATAAATAAGGTTGTCAGTGGCTCAACACTCAGAAGTACTCCTGCTCTCTGTCTTCTTAGTCTGTCTTAATCTGGAAGCTCGGCTGAAACCTGCCCACCATGGGTGACTCTGCAACTGGTGGCACGTAGTAGGATAAGTACTGGATTGGTAACCAAAAGGTCAGCAGTACAAAGTCACTAGCCACCCTTAGAAACCCAATACAGGGTCACGATGAGCAGGAACCAACTCTGTGACACACAACAATAACCACAAATCTCCTTTGAGTGAGGCATGATAGGGAGATGGGACACAGCAGGACTGATGATGTAACTAGCAATAGAAATAGGATACCCATTTTAGAGTCCTCAGCCGCTCCCCCTCTCCATGCCCCCATCTCTGCCTCCATCTCTGGCCCTGCTGCTTCTCTGGATAAGGTCCCGCATTCTATT